AAGTGACGATTCAATGACAAATTACAAATTGACATGACAATGATAAATGTAAGGCAACCTTCACTGCCGTAATTCGTACCAATCTTGATAACATTTGCAACAACTTCCGTCATGGCAGCGCTACACTGCAGCCACAAGAGCATTATGGCCGCGGCGTGATCCATCGCCGTCACAGCTCATTCAGTCACGATTGGTTTCAACCATCTTCTCTGTTTGTTTCATTTGAGCCAGCACAGAATGAAAGCCGCTGGCATCATCTTAAAGACCAGTGTGTTTCACCTCCACTCAATCATGTGAGGACTCCAAAGCTCACCCTACGCTGAGACATACTGCCACACCGTAGACTCGTCAGTGACGTGGCCACCAACGGCCATTTCGCCCACAACGCTCTTGTCATCCCAACAAATGGTACCCACAACTCTCTTCCATAAGGCGCCTCGTTGCCATTCAATGCATGTTTTATGTTGTTTCATATGTCTTACAGCGTCGTCACCAAGATGTCTAATAACGTCTCAGGCTGTCAAGGGTGCTGGAAGCTCTTTCCCACAGAGCCCTGCAGTCCATAGCATTCGCTCTATGTGTCAAGAGCATTGCGTTATGCCCAGCCGCACTATCATGTTTTTACTCGTACGCTCTTGCAAGCCACATTTCATAAGCGGTGTCGAGCACACTCTGCTAATACCCTGTCAAACACCTCACCTGACTTGGTTTTTAGAGCCTATCAGCGGCCGCGATCACGCACGAGCGAGGCAAATTCGACCCCGGCGGGCGCTGCGTGTTTACAAACCGTCCGCGTCTGTCGTGTGGGCTTCAATGCCGCTGAGCGGCTGCCAGGGGGCGTCGAACACGCTCCCCGTGCTGCCGGCCGGCTCGACCCGTAACGGTACACGCCGCGCACGGTGCGCCCGAACGGGGCCAGCGGCCCTGGCTGACCGGGCACCGGCGCCAGGCCGGCCTGCCTGCAGCCTGGTGGATGTGTCACAGCACTATGGTGCCGCTCAATGCCACGGCATCAGTGTCGCAGCGAGCCGGCGGATCAGGTTCAGTGAGGTGGATTTGTGTGTTTTCTGTTAGAATCATTGGTTCACTTAAAAGGAGTACGGTGGCTTTAATGGCATGCAGGTACCGAACTCCAATGCGAAATTGTCGCATATACCAGAGGAATGATCTGTATAGCCTATCTGTCGTCGAGTAGAAAGTCAGTATTCAGGACACGAATGGACCGAAGGCATCCATGGTCGTGGACGTCCAGCCACTGTGCAGCCGAGCCGAAGCCTTTAAGTATACCGGCAGCTCTGTGCAACGAAACACTGGCAGCCTAATGCCCTCGTTTTGATTCGGTATATCACAACTGGCGTAAAGTGATGACTCGCAGTGTTGTGAGCCCAACTACTAAATGTTCCTAAAATTACATGTTTTACTCGTCGTCGTTGTCTGTAATGTTTCAGCTGAAAATAGGCAACATTGTTTTTTTGTGCTATCGTTCGTGTACATTGCCTTGACATTGGATCCCTTTTAGAATGAAAGACATCATGCTAGCCTTATTGACAAAGCTTTCGGGAAACTAAACTGCCATCAGTCGTTTTAAAGCCGATCTCATTTTGTAAAATCATTTCTGGAAGAGTAGCGAAATACTGATACAAGCTGAGTACAGGGATAGAATGTGTGTGTTCAAAACTTTTCAGTGTAAGTGACAAATGCGATTTCGCAATACGCCGCAAGTACACTGAGGCTGTCAAATGTGTTAAAATGACATCTCAAGTGTCACGCACAACTGTAACAAACATGGGACTGAAAGCGTTTAAATTTAGAGCTACGGATTATCGCTTTATATCAATACATATATATATATATATACATATATCAATATAATGTATTTATTATGCATATAGATATCAATTGGTATGCGATATAATACAAGCGGTGCCTCTCTAGTACCATATTTTTATGTTTATTTCAACGCGGCTTTTATCTGCATTAACGTTTACAGTGACGATCGTCTTATTGCCGTGGCCAATGTCGATTTATTAATCGCTGCATTGTTCTTTACCCTGGTCGTGTGTAATATCTGCATTAGACAAAAACATATTTAGATATACATATATGCATATCTGCATAAAAAGATGATACGTATTACTCACAAAAGTGCACCAGGCCTGACCGAGAAAATAATCATAATGCGTTGCTCGTTGCAGACCTGATTTCGCTTCCTATCGGTCGTTTACCTCGATTCAGTCACGTAATGACATACCGCAAGCAGCGCAGACGCAGGCGAACAGCGGCAGAGTGACATGTGCGTGTGTAGGGCACGAGACCACATGAGGTCTCTTGAGGCCAGTAAGTTCTTCAAGGTAGGCGAACTGAGGAAAAGGAACCGCCTTTTGCAAAACCGTTGTGGAGATTTTTGTGTCAGTCACATCTGGTGGGGTTCCATTCGGAATCTTGAGCCGGACCTGTCGCCGGCTGGGCATGACTCAAGCGCTGGGAGACCGCATACTCGGCAGAACTTTCCTGCATACATTCTTTTCCCACCGAGCTGACGCACTGGGCAGAGGTGCTGCTCCCATCAGCTAACTGTTTTTTTCCTCAGTGTCGGGAGTACTACGCCTAACAGGCGCAGGAAAAACTATGTGGCAATGAAGGAAGATGTTATCCTGACAATCATACAAAACCATTACGCATTATGACATAACCGGATGTTAAGCATGCATATTTTTGTCCCATGAGTGCTCTAGCAGTCTATGAGCTTCATGAGTCATTTCATGAACGGGAAAAATAGTAGCTCTCCACACCCGAAACACGGCTAAATTGGAAAGCGGGTTCAGGGGTGACAAGTACTTCCAGGAAATCAGTGTGTGCATGTAGTGTGGTGTGTGTGTGTTGTGTTGTGTGGTGCAGTGGTGAGAGAGAGAGAGAGAGAGAGAGAGAGAGAGAGAGAGAGAGAGAGAGAGAGAGAGAGAGAGAGAGAGAGAGAGAGAGAGAGAGAGAGAGAGAGAAGAGAGAGAGAGAAGAGAGAGAGAGAGAGAGAGAGAGAGAGAGAGAGAGAGAGAGAGAGAGAGAGAGAGAGAGAGAGAGAGAGAGGAAGAGAGAGAGAGAGAGAGAGAGAGAGAGAGAGAGAGAGAGAGAGAGAAGAGAGGAGAGAAGAGAGAGAGAGAGAGAGAGAGAGAGAGAGAGAGCGAGAAGAGAGAGAAGAGAGAGAGAGGAGAGAGAGAGCGAGAGAGAGAGAGAGGGAGAGAGAGAGAGAGAGAGAGAGAGGAGAGAGAGAGAGAGAGAGAGAGAGAGAGAGAGAGAGAGAGAGAGAGAGAGAGAGAGAGAGAGAGAGAGAGAGAGAGGAGAGAGAGAGAAGAGAGGAGAGAAGATAAGAGAGGAGAGAGAGAGAGAGAGAGAGAGAGAGAGAGAGAGAGAGAGAGAGAGAGAGAGAGAGAGGAGAGAGAAGAGAGAGAGAGAGAGAGAGAGAGAGAGAGAGAGAGAAGAGAGAGCGAGAGAGAGAGAGAGAGAGAGAGAGAAGAGAGAGAGAGAGAGAGAGAGAGAGAGAGAGAGAGAGAGAGAGAGAGAGAGAGAGAGAGAGAAGAGAGAGAGAGAGACGAGAGGGTTTATACAAATTTCAGCAGGAACTTTTTACAGATTTTAGGCACTTTTTTCATCCTCCAAAGCGAATTACGACCGCTAGCATAAATCATCGACCACAGCACGCTTTTTGACATCACCAAAATGTATGCCCAACAAAAGACGCTGAAGAGAATTGAGGTGGATGAAAGTGGGTTATATACCATGGGCATATCTACATAACTTAAGAAGTCCGTGGAGACGTTTTATGTTTCATGAGTATTAAAGCCGGGTCGTGCTTTTTGCCTCATGGTTCTCACAGATGCATGCTGATTTCGTGCGCCAACCTTTCAACTTTTTTGGGTGGGTAGAGATTAGAGCCCTTCCGGTCATTCGTGACCGTTTCAGGGTTATGTGATGCAGGAGACTGAGTGTTGGTGGGACAAAGTTACCTGGGAGTCCTTCACCGCTGTGCGGTCCGCACAGGACCCCCTATTGGGGGCATGTGATCGGCGCTCATAATGGGGTGTAATTAAGCCCACTTGCGGATGGTGCATGCAGCTTACCCATGATAAACAGGACATCGTGGGGATGCAGGATGCGGCGTGAAGGAGGAAAGAAGGGTGGGTGGTAAGTTTTTCCGGACAGGCTTTGAAATTCATTCCTTTTAAATCACAGGAAACTAAATGCAGATAATAAAATAAGCATGTAATTCGCCTTGATCACCCGTCCTTGGCTGCTGAAACGGTACCATGCCAGCTCCATACCAGTATAATAACTTGTAAAACAAAACTGTGCTCTGTTATTCTATAAATTTTTGAAATAATGCAGCCCCTCTTTTGTTGATGAGGACGCCGGAAGAACCGCTTTTCTGTAATCGTTCGTAACCATTCGTTGCATGCCCTTCTTTTGTAAATGTGCGATCTGTTGTTCTTTATACTCACTTTGTCATACGCACTTTGTTTTTTTCAGCATGAATTCGTAAGTGCGCTGTTTTGTCAACATGCTCCCAAAAACCCGAACGTCCTTCGCGACTTTATGACATACAAATACTCGCATAACGATCATCGGATGAGAGGTAACAAACATTTGTGGATGCTTAATTCGTATCGACCTTATCCGACAGTTCAGATCCAGGTCCCACCTGCCGTCGAAGCATCCGCAGAGCGCAGAACATTCGCGCGCGATAGCTGCGGAGAACACCTGCGGGCACCCCGAGCGCCCTGCGGGCTGTCCCCCCCCCCCCCGCCCCCCTGTTCATCGCTTTCGCAGTTTGGTCAGCTCCAGCATCGCTGCCCGAATATTCTCCTCCTCCGGGTCCAGTGCGACGGCGTCAAGCTCACTGAACGAGCTGAGAGCCTTCCACTGCCGCCCCGAGGGAGCTGACGTTGCCGCCTGCCGTCCCCGCGAGGGTGACGTCACCCCTCCGACGTCATTTGTCTGACGGGCGCCGGATTGGTCGCTAGCGGATGTGGTGACGTCGAAGGTCGCTTGCGATTGGTCGGCGGCTAGCTCGACGGCTTGGACTGGCTCAGGCTCTGTCGACCGGGACACGTTTAGATCGCGCGGGGGTGTCGCATTATCGGAAACGTGAGTGATTTTATGACATACAAATACTCGCATAAAACCATTCACCAGAGGATGGAGAGAAAGGTCCTTCAGAGCATAAAGTCTGTTAAATTTAAATTGCGTCTTAATACATTGGAAAATGTTCGGGGTCGAACTTATCAATGCCTAAAGACGTTTTCTTATCCCGAACATGCCAACAAAAGCATGCTCAACACGCCCTACAAATGAGCAGCTCAGCAGCAAAATTTGGTAATTCACAGCGCTCTGAAGCTTGGCACTTTGAGCATTCTCGGGCACACCTAATGTTAAAAGTCTACTGATTGGTCAAATACGTTCACACAGGAATATTTCAGATACCTAAGTATACTGTTTTGGTGGAAGTACATTCAAAAACATACAACAAGAGAAGTTGACACACAATTCACGTTAAAACAAACAATATTATCAATGCACACACTAAGAGAATGAGCTCCAACCATCGTCCACAGAGAAGAGAAGAGAGCTACGGATGACCGATACACATGTCCTGCCTCACCGTCAACAGCGTGGGTCCATTTACCTGCTCGTCCACGAAAGCCCTGTCCATACACAGAGTAATAGAGGGGGACCGGTGAGCGTTTGACGTCGGGTTCGTCAAGGTAGTGGGTGGACTCGTACGGAAGCTCGTTCCCGCCCTCGTCGGCCGAGGACGAGCGGTCGGCGGCGGAGAATGAACGATCGCTGTCAGTCAGACGAGAAACTGAACGAAAATGGCTCGGCACTTTCGCTGCTGAAGGAACGTAGACGCCTGAGACCAGAGTATGGCAGTGTGTGCGATGACCCGAGATGGTTGGTCTCGCGCCGCGGGGTCGGGGCGACATGCTTTATCGATGTCTGAGCACCTAAATTGCTGTGGAAGTTCAGTCTTGGCTTCTCCCTACGGGTGAAGAGGTCGTAAACCCGCTTTTCATGCTGATCAGAAGTTACTTCACTGCTCGTCTTCGACTCTGCCATCATAAGGCCATGGGCTTCAGAAGTTTTTTCCACTTGATCCAAGCTGTTATCACGTTGATAAACATCCTCGTTTCCGAGCATCGTGCGTCTCCTTTCATATTTCGTCCTCCGGCCTGGAGACATCGAGGCTCTGACCTCCTGTGATGCTGCTGGGACTCGGTCTTGTGGCGTGTTTTCAGGGTCAGTCTCCTCCTCTGGCGACCCGGAGCGAGCAACGCGCGTCCAGGCGCTGCCTTGTCGGAAGGGTTCCTCCGACAGCCCCAGTTCCTCCAGGACTTGGAGAAGCGGGGAACGCTCCCGATTGTGCTGGTCCACCGCCGTGGCACTGCCCACTTTCCGCAGCTCCAGGCCCTGGAACTGCCGCTCCACCTGCAGGAGGAGCTCGTCCACCGACTCTTGAACAGGATTAGCCGTCGGCGTGGAAGGCTGGGTGTGAGCCAGGGCCCGGCGAGGTTGTGTCTGCTGCTGAATTACTCACTAGTTTGCGAGTGATCGACTCCGTGAGTTGAGAGTCGCCGAAGGTACCGGCATTGCTTCGGGCAGTGTTAACGATGCGTTCTGCATTAACTTTATTTTGTGACTGACTCACCAGGTCTAAAGGTATCTTGGGCGCTTGGGAAATTTTGTTCACGCTTTGTTGAACCGAAACTAAGCCATCAGGGGCCCAGGAAGATCTTGCCCCGAAGGTTGCAGGGATCATAGCCTCAACATTATTTGCGAGACCCATATTCTGAATGGGTAAATATGGTTTCACGTTGGTTTCATCTGAGAAAGAATCGGAGCTCAAGAACTTTGCTTCTGTCATGCTATTAAGATTATTTGCGAAGACCCATGGACTGTTGTCGACCCGCGCCTGCGCCGAAGGCCCATCGTTGATGGCATTTTCACTCACAGCCGTCGTTATTCCTTCAACGGATCTCCCATCTACACCAACAGCATTATCCCGCCTCTGCGTCTGGGCCACCCTCATCCCGAACCCTCCATCGCCCGACATGTTCGAGTACGCATCGTCGGCCAGGCTGCCAGAGTGGCCAGGAGTTACTGAGCCCGGATCCACGTCGTACGACACTCGGAAGAGCGCGCTGGTCGACGGTGAGCGCCCACCGAGAGACAGCGGCAGCATCTGGTCGAAGGTGTCCTGGATCGTCTGGATTGTGGTTGTGAAGGGCGGTTCGCTGCTGGAAAAGTCGGTGTTGCTGGAGAAGTCGAAGACAGGTGCTGCGATGGGGTCATTGCTGAACGCAGTCCCTCCTGCTAGAGTGGCGTGAGGTAAATCGGCCCCAGATGACCCGCTCTCAGAGGTGGAAGACTCTACGCTCGCTGGGCGCGGGTTCTGCGTGTCCAGTGGCGTAGCAGCCGGGGGCTCCGTATTGGTCTGGTCCACTGCATAGCTGACATCCTCTGTGACAGGCCCGGCGTCAAGTGACTGCTCCAGAAGTCCTGCCTCGCGTCCTGTCATCAACCCCTTCAGAACATCGGGCTGGAGAGACGCTATGGACTCGAGTACATCTCCTACGACCAGGCTGTCGTCCAGCGGAGCTGCCACCCGCTTGGAGAGGTCTGTCACCACCTGAGCATCCCCAGCGACAGCGCCGCTGGGAAGACGCCGTGGGTCGAACAAGTTCGGATCTCCGTCCGCCAAGCTTTCCGTCTGGCTTGGCCCCTCCGCGTTCTCAGAGGACCCTGGCCCAGAGACCTCCTACCGTCTCCAGCATGCTCTTCTGCTCAAGGTCGTGGACCTCGTGCTGCTGCATGCCCTTGATCATCAGGTCGGCGCTGGTGTTGCGGGAAACGAATACGTCCGGATCGGATACGCTCACCATCTCGTGGGACACAGCCTCGCCATCACTCGGCGCCGCTTCTTCCGCCGTATCCAGCTTCTTCCGCGTCTTCTCCATCACGTCCATGAACGTATTGGCCAGGGCCTCATCACTGAAGTCCGGCCAACCCCAGCCGGACACCCCGCGCGAGGTGTCGGCGGCACCCCCCGACCGCCCGTCCCCGACCGAGCTGAGGAGGGCGGCCGACTGGGGACCCGGGGCCGACGGTTGGTAGGACGGGGCCTCAGAGCGGGACGGGGAGGCGGGCGGGGCGGGGGCCGTCTCAGGAGGTCGGGTGTCCGGCGCGACGGTGGAGGTGCTGTCAAGCGCAGTGTCGGGCGGTGAGGTGGCGGGTCCTGCGGGGCAGACATGCAGTTCAGGCGGTGCGGTCTGTGCCAGTCGATGCCTCATCCATGTTACGAGTTTAAGTGCGTCCAGATAAAGGCGAGGCATCAAGTCAGTTTAACGGGCATGCTGCTGTTATTGTGAAGGCTGAAGCCGGCCCTTGCTGCACGTTTATGGTAAATATGTCGTAGACATACCAATCGACGATGATTCTCAACGATCATGGTCAAATGGTTGTGCCATGAACATGAGAAACGCTCAATCGGCTTTGTCGTGCATTTCACGAGCGCCGTTCCAATTACTTGAAAACCAAACATACGATCTAACAAGCTTTTAAACAATTTAGATTGCAACAGCACAGCAAGAGGCGGCAATTGAGCAGATGAGTGGCGTTGACAGGCCGAAAAGCGTTATAGCATGACACTGTGGCGTATGGAGCTGACTCCCGGCAGCTCCCGACATCGCATTCAGGCGTTCATCAAAGAGGCAGTCTTCAGCAGCGTCAAGCAGCGGCCACATGCACTAACCTACGGCGTCCGTGGCCCGGGACGCACCGGATGCCGCGCCTCCATGCCGTCCACGCGTCGGAGGAAGATATTCCTCGGTGGGTGGCCGCAGTCGGTCGCCGAACACGGCCTGGCCGTCGAACTGCGGTGCAGGTGGCGCCACCGCCGTCTCGCCAGACGACGCTGCCGTCGGCGTCACGGTCTCCGTGGCGACGGGCGGGTCGGGTATCGTGATTGTAAGCACGGTCGGCGACGGGTCCATTAGAAGCGAGGGCTCGATCGCAGGCACCTCCTCCGAAAGCGAGTTATCCGTCACGAAAGCGTTGCGGATCGCCTCGTCAATCTGTGCCTGGACTACCTGCGGCAGGCTGGTCCGGACGTCGATGTCCGGTAGGGCAGCCTCGGTTGGGGGCGGCAGGTACTCGGTCGGCTGCGGCACCACCCCCAGCACCCCCTGACTGCCCCCCTGCGCACCAGCAGAGATGGCACCGGCGGCAGCCTGAGGAGCGCCAGCAGTCTCTTCCTCGGCGCTGAAACCCGGTAATTTGAGATCACAACCGAACAATGTTCAACAGCTGACGAAGTGCCTTCCGGAGCAATTTTCCACAAGAACTGAGTGCTCTAGACATTGAAATCGTTACCAGATAAGCGTAAGTCCCTTAAGTCGTGCAATACTACCCGATACTTAACCGCACGAAATTGACTGGATCGCTCAGTTGAAAAAGCCAGCAAATGACCTCAGGCCACAACCCGAGCCTACACTCGTCGTCACCTCAGCAGCACTGTTCGTATCACCCCGTTCAGAGCCTCACCTCGCCTGGGACTGACCCCCCTGGAGCTGGCCCTCCGGAGCAGCGTAGCCGTTGTTCTCCGGGACGTTGTTCAATGGGCCCACCTCGCCTGCATTCTGGGCCGCACTTTGTTGACCGGAGCCATCCTGGCCCCCATCGACCTCGCTCTAGAAAAGAACAGTAAACAGTGGACGAGAGGAGCAGGCTGTGTTCTTTACTCATAAGTGTGAGCATATGCAGATGAGGCACTAAGCGCTTCCGCTAAACTTGCAACCCTATGCACGCTTTCCACGTTGGTGTTCTTTGCAATTAAGACATCTTGATTATAATCGTCACCTTGGACCAGGCAAGCAAACATTACAAAAATTCATGATCTCCGGAAGACTTAGTGCCTTTTCACTAGCTTCCGGCGGTCAGTGCGAATGGGTGCACAAGTACTTGGCACAATCCTTCTTCATGACGCAACGTGAGTGGACAAGCTTTCGCTTCCCATGGTTTACCACTGCTCCATTGCCGTGTTTTGCTTGCTCTGTAATTTTGGATTGAGTGCTGACTAATCTGAACCGGCTGCTGACTGATATACCAACGTTGCGATGCTATGCATCATGAAACATTTAATTAGGAGTATGAGTGGTTTGTGCCACAGAGAGGAAGTGCCATCCTCCAGCATTGTCAGCCACTAGCCGCCCGTACGTGAACACAGGACCCTGACGTCACATCCACAACTTATGGTATATCGTTACCCATGTTCTGCAGGGAACGATTCGTATCACTGAAAAGCGGCTAGCGTCAGCACCATGCTGGCTGACCTTAATATCCACGACTGGAACAACCCATGATCCCTCTCAGATATCTATCCGTGAAGCGTGTTTTCTCCACCGATAAGATCGTTTTGAACGGAACCAAATCCAGCGCCATATGATCGATGCGAACAATCCAATTTGCTGGCCCATTACAGACGAGTCACTATACCGGACTCGCTGTTTTGTGTTCCCACCGCATGATCTCTGCTGGAGCTCGGGGGGGGGGGTGAGGGAAAGAGGAGAGAGAGAGGAGGAAGAGGAGCGAGAGATAGAAGAGAGAGAGAGGGAGAGAGAGAGAAGAGAGAGAGGAGAGAGAGA